TTTTTTTATTTATCCAAGATATGATTTTTACCGAGCTTTTATAAGACACCCTTAGTAATTAATATATATGGAACAACACTAAAGTCATCTTTAGTCTTGTTACTATTTTTCTTGTATTTTGATATTGACCTACAAATCTTCTTAGTTTTTTTTATAATAAGCAATAGTTATTCTAATAGTTTTTTTTTTTTTTTTTAATCTTACAATTAACTCTTCTTTATTGTATTTCCTTCTTTTAATGACACAAGAGTATATCATCTTCTCAAGGTTCTCTTAAGATTTATAACTTTAAAAAAAATAGCAGATAAAACTTAGGAAAAAAAAACTATTGTTTTATAGTTTAGATCTAGCTACTAGCTTTTTGTTATTTATTTGATGAAGGTTAAATACCTTCAAGGTTGAATAGAAAAATTAGAATAAAATGATTCTTAGAACTCATGATGTCTTTTTTAAGTTACTTTTCAACAAAGAAATAGTATCAAAAATAAAAAACTATTTTGAATAATATCATTTTATATATATATATATATATATATATATATATATAATATTTTAAAAAAATTATGCATCTTTATATATCTTCGAACAAGTAATAAAACAACAACATTAACAACAACAAAAACAACATAAAATCTTTTAATGTAAATCTTGCAACAAAAGAATTTATTTATTTATTTACTTTCAATGATCTATATAATAACACTTAAATATTTGTGATTAGATTAGTTTTTAATAATGATGGAGTTGATTTTTAATAATTTTGTAATGCTCTTTTGAAAAAATTATCTTTTGTTGAGAACTTTATTCAAGTCGAATTAATTATTCAAACCATTCAAAAGTAAAATATTGCACCTCATTTTTTTCCTTTTAACATCATTTAGACTAATTTTTATGAAGATAATGCCTATTAAAATAGTTTCTTTTAGAATTTTATCAATCGAAATTCTCAAATGATTTTTATACTTAGAGGACAAGGTGAAAGGCATCAACTTTTAAATCTTTTTGTTGGCGACGACAACTGGGCTTCTTAATTTTAGACAATCAAGGGATTTCGAAAGTTGAAACCCCATTAAAAGTTGAAACCCCATTAAAAGTTGTGACCACTTGCTCTCTCTCTCTCTCTCTCTCTCTCTCGAGCAAAATGATCCCCTTCAAATGAATTGGGTTTGTACAAACAATCTTTGAGTAAGCATGTCACTCTCTGCAGAGCCATTTCGTCAATCACACCATTGCCACTGCTGAATTTAATTTATTTCTCTATCAATGTCCGTAGACCAAATTCCATCAAATTTGTATTCCCTCAAAGAACCTTTTTCTATTGAAGTCCTAGTGCTGCTTCAAACAAATTGCTCAACCAGGTTATTCTTTTCGTGTGTTTTTTGTGAATTTCACAGCTCCATGGACTTCAATGTACCTCAAGGGTTGTGCAGGCGTGGACCGTTCTGCCTTTCAAGGATCTGCCAACTCAATTCCAGATAGGACAACCCTAAAAATCAAGGCTTGATTCGCACTTCATCATCCTTTGGGCTCAAGTAGCCTCAAGCACTATCCCCTCTCTCGCCCTGGGTGTGCATGCAATGGTAGGATCTGACACATTTATGGGGAGTTTTGCAATTAAATATTGTTGTGCTTTAGCCCCAGCTACGGCTGTAGGGCTAGATCCGGCCTTTGTGCTGCTCACTAGCTAGGTATGTTGGACTTTGTAGGGACAATAACCTTCTAACCAGGAGGACTACACGGCAGACGTTGCAGACATTATTGACATTTTTCTTCAGATAACTCATATTCAAGCACAAGAATCAACATCTGGAGTTGCTAATGTTTGTGGTTTGTAACTTCAGTTGTGCAATCGTTTGAAAATTGTAATTTCTTAAGTTGACTATGTGTATGACGCTTTAAAGTGCTTGAGTGTTCATTGCTTGATGGTGGGGGGTCAAAGTCATTGTTTTTTGACATTATTTTAGTGTTGATTTCTTTGACAATCCTTGGATTTTTTCCCTTAAATTGTAAACATTGATTACATATCTTGTACTTGCCAGTTAAAAAATTAACCATAATGTTCTACTAATGAGATACAACAGCTAATGGTGGTTCAAAAGTTACTTGAAAATTTTAAACTACTTTTTTATTTAAGTATTTTATTTAAGTATTTTTTGAATTCAAAGTGTTGTTATTCTATTCTATTTGAGTGTTCTTTTTTGCAAAATTAAAACTCATGAAACCATTTACCTAAAAACATTTATTTAACAATCCTGATTTTTTTTCCAAAACCATAGGGGATGTCTCAAAAAGAACCCTTGGTGGTTATCATGCTTTCTTAAAAGTAATAGGAGATAAACTGATAACATACAAAAAAAAAAAAATAATAATAATTTATAAAATACAAATTTAGCATTTTATTAGATACTCTTTAACTTCAAAACATATTTCCATGCTTTTAAACTAACTTCGTGCATAGTTTAGTTTCAAAATCCTCAAAAACTATATTTCTGTTAGAACAAAAATGATTAAAGTTACATCATTGCAGAAATCAGAAAAAATTGTGTGGATGAAAAAATGAGTATTGTCAAATTTTGGTTTTCTTAGAAAATAATTTTTAAAATTACTTTCATATATATATATATATATATATATATGCAGAAAAAGTTTGAGAGATTGTGAAGATTACAAAGACTATCACATTATAAATATACACATGTACAAGTAAAAAAATAAAAAATAAAAAATAAAAAACTATCATGTTTTTAAAAGTTCATCAAATAAACATGCATGTGTCATGTGCTGCAAAAGATTGCGTGTACATGACAGTTGCTCTGAAATATTTATATAACCAGCATTTCAATCAACAGTATATGAATTGAATGTTGCTTCTTTACATGCAAGTAATATATGTAAATATATATATTAAGAATAGAGAATAATGTAAGAAATTTGAAAAAACTTCAAGGTTCATTTGATATAATCTTTTTCTTGCTTCTTTGTTTAAGATTCTTGAGTAAGTATAAACTGGTAGATATTTTGTTTTGTGTATATAGCATTTGGAGTAGCATTCAAAAATGTGAATAAAATAAATATATAAACAAATAAATGATTTCTTATAGTTGTGAACTTATTTTCCAATCCACAAAGTCTATACAATGTACCAACTTTTCAGAATAATGAATTAATAGTCAAGGCAAATGACAAAGAAGATAGAAAAAATAAAATAAAAATGGAATGTTTATTTGGTTCTTCTTTTACCTTTTTCTAGAAAAACACAAGGATACAAGTAAAGAGGTGAAGCACGTTCAATAAGTAAAAGTAAAAGGAAGAATCCTTAAACAAGCTCCAATACCCAACAAGAGTATGACAACTTCATGAGTATTGGTCACAGAATCACATTTTGCAAAACAAAATACTTGTAAGTTGTAATATTTAATTGCTTATTTATATGCTCTTCATATCCTCTACATGTGTTTACTTTATTTTGATTTTGATTATTATTTATATTATTATTTACTTACTGGGTGATTTAAAGATTACATCATGGGTACCTTCGCAGCCAAGAAAAAGGCATCTGCACTTTCCCTGTGTGTGCTGACTGGGCAGGCCAGCCGTGACGTAGATAGTGTTTCTTAGAGAATCCGCCACCACTGCCAGGTGGAGGGGTGAGTCAGTCCAGCTCGACCGTCCGCCACGTCAACCAAGCTATTTGAGAAGGAAGGAGTGAAAGCACTTTTGCCACGTAGATGGTGAGTCACCGCTGACTCGGACTCCCATGTGTGGTGCCCCATTTGTAGAGCACCAGCTCCACCACCCCCCCTTTCTGCACATGGGCTCGGTTCATTGCAGTTATAGTATGGGTGCATTATAGCTTTTTATGAGAGGGTTCTAGGGTTTCGATGCTTCATTTGTATATTATTATTGATTTTTTCTTCAAAATATAGATTATATCTCACGAAACAATTAAAAATAAGTATCTTAAGTTTATTTGGTCTATTAATTTATATTTATTTATGAATAAAGAACTTATGCACCCACTTTGAGCATCTAATTTTTTGTGCATACTATGCTTCTCATCATACCCGATCATATTCTCCCCCCTCCCTCAAAGGAAAAGTGTCGGATAAACTATAGAAATATTGTGTGTTTTTATTATTTTGTATTTGACAAAACCTTCAGTAAAACAAATGAGGGCAGATTTGATATTTTAGCAAATTCATTCAGCAACGCACTTAGTTCCTTGTTTTATATAGTTCTGTTATTTATTATTGACACTAAAAGGAAACAATAGCTTTATTTTATTTAAGGTGATATATATATATATATATATGGGTGCAGATATTTTGGCACCTGTTGTGATCAAATTGATAACCTGAATGAAATATTTTTGTCACCATTAGTTTTCTTGTCATCCACTCTTAAACAATCAATGAGCAATTTTGGGAGGTATCAAAATAACCAAGAAAGGGTACCAAAATATTCATGTATGTAAATAAACAATAAATTCGAATCCAATTATAATTCATCTAAATATCATATTACATATATAAAAACATGCATAACGAAATAAAGCTATACATTTATAGAGTATAGATGGAAAATCATGCATAAAAAGTAATAATAAAAAGATAAGCAAACAATTGAACCTGTCCCTTAATTTGTCCACAATGTCATTGTTTCTTAAGTTAAAAAATTATTGTTTATTCAGAATAAAAAAATCTAAAATAATCAGCTAGAAAACAAAACTTACACAAATTCACAAAAGATATCTTCAAAGCTAAAGATAAACTTGTGTTTAAAGGAACTACGTTCGAGCTCATTGGCAATCTCATATATACATTGACAAATACATACATAAATACACACACACATATACATATACATTCAAAAGTTAAAGTGAAAGTGAGGTTCACTAAAAGCAAAAGCCAAAATTCGGAGAGGAGGAGGGTCGACGTCAGATTTCGAATTCCAGAGGCAACGACGACGATGAAGACTTCGTCGAAGCCAAACAGCGCCGCCGCCGCCACCTCGTTGCCAGCCCCCGCCATTTCTAAATTTCCCTCCCGCCGTGCCCTCGCTCCCTCCGTCCCTCATGCCCCTGCGATGAGGATTGTGTGGTCCGGCTTTCAGACACCACTCCATGATTTCTCTTCATGCCCGTCCATGAAACAACGCTCACGCACAGCTTCAACTGTTTAGAGGCTGTTGTTACAGTTGTTGTTAAGAAGCGGTCTTCGCTTGTTCAAGTTGCTAACAGGTGGGTGTGGATTGTGTGTGTGTGTGTGTGTGTGAGTGTGACTACTGTGGATCTTGTAGCCGCTGAGTGCTGTTGAGTTTTTTGTCGATGAGGTGTCGAGGGTTTTTGTTTCCAGACGGATTCACTTTGTTTGTAGGTCAAGGGGTTGCCTCTGTGGTTGTTATGTGCTCCGGAGAAGGGCGTTGATACGGCCGTTGCATTTGTGTCACGTAGCAGTTGACAATGTTGTCCTTGTTGATCACCTTCGTTGTATGCAAGCTTCTCGTTTCTTGCACGGGGAAGGTTTCATTGAGCGGTGGATATTCGCTTTAGGTTTCCATGTCAGAAGGTGATGTGGATAGTTCCTCGTTTCATACTTGGAATGTGGATGTATGGCCCTGCTTTCCTGCGCGTGTGTTTGCGGCAATCTATCATGGGCAGCGGTTATCCCAGCTTAAATGTGTATATAGAGTGAGGCCTAGCTACGATTTTTTGAAAAGCGCGGAGAAAACACGGGCGACTAGATCTGTGTGTGAGTTGAGGCAGTGTTGTGTTGAGCGGACTGTAGGCGATTTTTTGGTGAATCTGTGAAGCCAGGTTCAATGGTTTGGAACAACGGTTACTTACTACACAGCCTTTGCAGCAGTAATGGTCTCGAACTGTTCGGGAGCTTTCAGTAGAATTGTAGTTTTAAAGGGAAAGTGTTGAGCACATTGTGTGGAAATATCGAAAACCCTCAACTCGCTCTGAACATCTTCATCAAATGAATGGAGAATAGGTGATTTTGATAAAGAACGAATGAGCATGTGGCGATGAGATCAAAGAACTTGGTAGTTTATTGCAACTCAAGCGTAACTCCGGGTTCTCGCTTAGCTTTCATGAATTGGTGAGTAGTTGAGAGATGTAGCAATCAGAACGTTTACATCACAAATGAAGTCGCTTAATTTCTCATTCTGCAGGGTTTTTATACTTGCGGAGACAACTTTTTCTTCAGGCGAGCTGCGGGAGAGCTGCATGTCTAACGGCACGAGGCTGGAATTGGAAGACTATCTGCTAGCTTGTTCTCTTTGGTGCTTCCTTTCTCATTTGTGACGCTTATGGTGGGTGGAACACTAAAGAGGATTCTCCAGCTCGAATCATCAAATCTCTGAGCAGAAGCTCAGAAGCAGGATCTAGGGTCTTACTTCGATTGGAGGACATTACTGCACTGAAAAGTCCTCAAACGGAAAAATCCACCAAATTGAGCCCAAGTCAATTAATCTAGTCTTGGTGCGACGACTAAAACGCTGAATTTACTTTCGCACCGACAGAGTCTCCAGTTTCAGTGGTACATTGATCTAAGATTGTCGTCAGTCGCCTCAATTGTGATGTATGAAGGCTCGCTTGTGCAACCCAATCGTCGGGACGTATCTAAGGACATCTATAATTCGGTAGACCATGTGAATGAAAGTGCATAAAAGTACTCAAGGTCTGCCGTCACAAGAAAGCAGAGGGCCAGGCTATCTTTGCAGTCGACGTTGTAAGCTGTTCCAGGTGCATCGTGGTCCTCCCTAGTCATGATCCTTCAACATCACGACTCAGAGTCGGAGATTCGGAGTGATGGCACCTCAGTCGTTTGCCCTTCATCGCCTATTATCGGTTCGCCTCTCTGGCCTCAGAGTTTTGGTCGGACCATGGACATTTACTCCAGATCAAAGTCACAGAGAAGCGAAATTGACTCAGGACTGGACGGTATTTCTAATGCATTCGAACCCACTTCTAGCCCTACCGCGGCACGAAATGATTCAAATGGGATCAGAGAACCATTGCTGAAAAAATCGGAATCTTATCAATCAGAGAACAAATACGGTGTGCAAAGCACGGAGGAAGCGATACACCTATCTTGTTACAGTGGGAATTTTAGACCACGCAATGAGCAGGGGAGCTCTTTCTTTCAGTCTCTGTTCAACGGCATGAATGTGCTTGCAGGTGAATATGTGCACCCATGTATATTATTCTTTAAGTATACCCTCTAAGTATAATCTTGCTTGTTGACATTCCTCCGTTCAGAGAGTTATTATGTAAAGCTCGTTAGTGATCACAGCTAACCCTCATCACATCGCTTACTTAGTATTGGTATTTTAAATGGAAGAAGTAAGCGCAATGTGAAAGGCCTTGATGTTAATTACGAGCATTCTTGAGTAGGCAGTTGATAGAACATTTCTCGTATTCGTGCTAAATTCGAGGAAATAATAGTTTTTATTGTTTTGAGTAACTTAAATAGAGCAGAGCTTCAAGGTTATTATTCTTTGTAGGGCTTGTTTACGGATGTGCGTGTCTACTAGACATTGGAGGGTTCAATTTGCAAGTTGCATATTGATTGTTTTCACTTCAATGAGTGCATTTTTTGGGGGCTTACATGGTTCTCAGGTGCTCTCATTGTATTTGAGGACATTGTTTGACCTATTTCCACTTTGCAGGTGTTGGGATTCTATCAACTCCTTATGCTGCTGCTAAGGGAGGATGGTTGAGCCTCGTGCTCCTCCTGGCCTTCGCTTTGATATGTTGCTACACAGCGATCCTACTTCGTCGCTGCTTGGATTCAGACCCATATATTCACAGTTACCCAGATGTGGGTGAAGCATCATTTGGAAAATGGGGCCGGTGGATTATATCCATAATGTTGTATCTAGAACTCTATGCCGTGGCTATAGAGTTTCTGATCCTGGAGGGTGACAATCTAGCCCATCTCTTCCCATCCGCTGGCATTTCATTTGGACGTATCATCCTGCGTCCCAATGAAATCTTTATCATCATGTCTGCCGTTTGCATGTTACCAACCGTATGGCTCCGAGAGCTAAGTGTCTTGTCTTACATATCCGCCACTGGGGTCGTTGCCTCCTTCTTAATAGTGCTGACAGTTGGCTGGATTGGGATCCTTGACGGGGTTGGGTTCCATAATCAAGGATCTCTGTTACATCTGGATGGGTTGCCCGTTGCTGTGGGCCTCTACTCCTTCTGCTATTGTGGACATGCCGTCTTCCCAAGCATATATGGGTCCATGCGCAACCGCGCCCAGTTTTCACATGTAAGAAACTTCACATCTCTTTGCTATTCTTACATTTCTCGCCAACTTCGCAAGTACATAATTTACTATCCAACATTATGTAGATGACATTCAATATCGTTGATCTCTGAAATGTGACCGTGTTTTGAGCTAATGCAGGTTCTGGTACTTTGTTTCACGTTGTGCACATTTATGTATGGAGGAATAGCTGTGATGGGCTACTCAATGTTTGGGGACGAACTGCAGTCACAAATCACTTTGAACCTGCCCCAAGAAGTCCCTGCTTCTCATTTTGCAATTTGGGTCACGCTCGTAAACCCTTTTGCCAAATATGCTATCACACTGACACCAGTGGCAGTGGCACTGGAGGAGTTCCTGTCCCATTCCATGGCAGACTCCACTAAGGACATCAGGTTTTGGGGTACAATACTAAGGACATTACTTGTTATCAGCACAGTTATAGTGGCGCTCTCAGTCCCATTCTTCGGTCTTTTAATGGCGTTCATCGGATCGTTCCTAAGTGCGACTGTGTCTATTATACTGCCTTGCCTATGTTACTTAAAGATTTTTCATCAGCGGTTGTCCTTTCCAGAGGTTTCCGTCGTTGGAGCTCTCTTGTGTCTGGGATTTATTGTGGGCATTGGAGGAAGTTACTTTTCTGTGAAGGCCATCATAGATAACTTGGGATCCACTGGAGCAGGCCTTTTCCCTGGTTATTATTAGACTACAGCACTTTAGGATGTTGATATTGCATTTTAATTTTCTTCACATTTTATGTATTTGGTATCAAGAAAGGGGAGTACCTGTTTATGACCCTTTTGCAAAACCTGGATGCATTCATTTGAGCCACTAATTCCCATTGCAGGTACTGCTGACTTTGACGTAGGGTTACCATAAGTTGATTTCACATGAACATGTGCATAGAGTGGCAAACGACTTTTAAGATACTGAAGTCCAAATTAAATATCCAATTATTGGATAAGAAAACCAATTGAAAAACAATTATTTTAATTTAAAATAGTTATTTATGTTAAAATTCAAAAAAACATAAGATTCACTGAATTTATAAACAATTATTATTTGATTTATATCAATATATTAATATTTGGTAAATATATAAATTATATTGTGCTCTTTATACATAGATCAAAATTTGACAAAATATACATTGAAGTATTTTAATATGATGTTTTGTTGTTCTTTAAGTAATGAAAACCAATTGTGAGCCCAAATTTCATCACTCAATGAAATTGATGCCATACAACGAGATCAAAAGGTGGAATAGAAGAACTTCCAATTATGTAATTGCAAAGTTGATTTAAATTTTAGTGTTAACAATTCAGTTAACTTGAAGCCTTCCAAGAAATGGTTATCAATATTAATAAAAAAAAGATTTAATGAAATTACTATGGTCTTCATGGCTATTTGCATGATTTCCACTTAAATCTCAATGGTTTGTTTAAACTTATTTATATAATCCTTAATTACTAATTTTTATGTTATTACAAAAGTATAATTAATTAGTTAAAACTTATAAATTATTATTCCTTGAATAACTAATGATAAAAGTAATTGTTCAAATTACTACCATTAATCTATAGTAAAAGTAAAAAATTTAAAGGTTGAATTAAAAGTAACAATTAAAAATAAAAAGAGAGAAGATTAAAGGTTAAAAGTTCAAAATTAAAATCTAAAAGTTGAAATATGAAAGTTACAAATTACTGTAAAAATAAAAGAAAAAATTCGGACTAAAGAGAGATAAAAGTGAAGGTACCTTGATAACGCCCACGAATTGAGGGCAGCAAATCCTTTCTACTTCAAAATTTGCCAAAATTCATGGTTAATTCTTAATTGAATGAATTTTAGTTTTTTGTAAAGTTAACTTGAAGGCGCTCTTGCTTAAATAAATTTAAATTCAATCTAACACGTGAACCATGAGGAATGCTCCTTCAAAGTTGAATGATCAAGATTGCCATTGCAGGCAACCTTCCTCCACTTGAAAATTAACCAAAAATTAAATTTGTTGTTATATTTAGTGAAATTTATACCATTAGAAGCCTAGCTTGAAGATGCACTTATTTTAAAAATTTCACAATAATCCAATTAGAAGGCACTGAGAAATGCTTTTTCAAAGTTGGGTGATTTAAACTGCCAAGGTAGCCAACCCCTGTGCACTCAAAATTCCACCAAAATTTCTCCCTTATTCCAAATCAAGAAATTTTTACCTTGTTCAAAATTTAACACCAAAAGCTACAACCAATTTTTTTTTTTTTTTTTTTTTTTTTTTTTTATATATATATTAAAACACAAAAAATTGAATGATTGATTGAGGGAAATCTGAGGCTCTTAAACCCTTGGGATATTTGGGAGGCTGAGGTAGCTATCTACTGCAATGACCTATATCTTAAAACCTAGTGACCATCATTCACTACTCAAGATCCATGCATATACAATCACACGTTCACAATGAAATTAAAAATCAAAAGAAAGAAAGAAAGATTAAGATTTACGGCCAACATTTGATATGGCTTCATCCTTTATCAAAAGTTGAGAGAGAAAGGGCTTTGGGAACCAAGCCACTCTCATACAATTGAGTGGTGGTTTTTGGAAGGGTGGCCAAATCTCCACTCCTGATCTCTAAGATCCCTAATGTAAATCTATGGCCTTCATTCATCTAAGACCTGATTTCGTTATTAAGGTTGATGGTTCTTGTAAGTGGTCAAGAAAGATTTTTTTGATAAATCTAACTTTATCATTGTGTTCAAAACACCTTTTTATGCTAAGATTGACTACCTACATGCTTCAATCCATGCTTAAGTGCAATTTTTATGAAAGTTTTATCTATAAGGATCATGGGAATTCTTGTAAATTTTTTCAAAATGAGAATTTCATTGCTCCACTTGTATTTTAAAGGAGAAAGTGCTGATCTTGTTTTCTTCACTCTAGGGGGTGAATTTGGTGCCACCATTGCATTAAAAAGGCTTCTATTAATTAGAAGAACCACTATGCCACTTAAATTTCTTGAATTTGGAGGAAATCTCAAAACCATCATTGCTCACTTTAAATCATATGAAATGATTGTAGGTGAACTCATAGGCATTTAATCAACTCTCATAATAGTAACTAAAAACCTCTAAATTATTAAAAATAACTAAGTTGCTATTCTAATTTTCTAATTCTTATTACTTTGGTCTTAATTAACCTAATTCAAGGAATTAAGCTATAATTTATACCATCAAAGGTTGCAATCCTAAAAATTCTATAAAACTAAATTCTACTTATATAAATCCTAATCTAACATACTTGATTATCATAAAATAACAAAATAACAAAAATTTAAATTTTAAAGCATAATTGAGAGCTCACACCAATAAAAAATAAATCCATTAAATAAAGTTCTAATAAATTTGAATTAAAATGTTTGAGTTAAATAACTAAGAAGTTGGAAACAAAACAAAACTTGTACTAAACTAATAAATCTTCAAAATGTAAATCTAATATGTATATATATATATATATATATATATATATATGTTAAAAGATCAAATCTTGATTCTTTATTCAGAGCAATTGAATTTATATAAGCTACTTTAGATGGTATAATTAATTAAAAGACTCATAGAATTTTCATATATTTTTAATTAATTACTCTTGATTTTGATTGAAATAATAGACAAAGTTGATATATAGTAATCATCAAATCTTTCATTTATTCTTATATCTACATCAAAGATTTTTTTTCATGTCTACTAAATTTTCTATTATTTTAAATATTTAGAATTTCTTATATATATATATATATAAAAATTGGTATTATCAAAAATAATATTAATTTAAAAGAGGATAATTTACAACTTTTAAAATACTTTGATGCTTTAAAAATAAATCTACACTATATCAAAAAAGATAAAGATATGATATTATATATACATCCATATTATCAAAGTCTAAAAAAAACTTTGAAAAGATAATATGCTCATATGTTACCAAGAAAAAAAGTAGCACATAAAAAAATAATAGATCTAAAATAGAAAAAAATTATAATATGTATTATCAAATAAAAAGACACTAGAGAACCTTGAATCAAATTTGGAATTCAAAAAAAACATAGACAAGACCAAAAATAATCTATTCTTACTAATTTTATGGTAATTAATTCAAGTTTTGAAAATTGATCTTTTAAAGTTTGAATTAAGTTATATGTCATTTATAACTATAAACAAACATTATTTTATACATATTCTACATTAACAACTTCAACTAATCAAATAAAATATATTTATATATATTTTTAGGAAATTAGTCATTATTCATAAGAAAATATATGAATATTTAATTTAAAAAAATTATAATAATAAAAAAATAAGATAATTTTTATAAAGACTTTCTTATATGAAAATATAGATTTTTATAAAAAAATTATTTTAATTTTATTTAATTATAAAACTTAAAATATAGATTAAATTAAAAAATAAAATAATAATATCTAAATTTATTACAAATAATTGATAATTTTGATATAAACAAGCTATTAGATATAAAAATCATAATTTATTAAGTAATTTTTTAATAATAATGATACCTTCAATACAACTATAATCTTTATATAAAATTGATAGGTTTCTTATTATATAATTAATTTTTTAAAATTATATTTATACTAAATATTAAAAATATATATATTTATATATATATATATATATATATATATCTATCTATTTTGATATTCATCTATATAATTAAGTAGATGTAGATAAAAGTAGATTTATTTTATAATATTTTATAGAGATGCTTTCTAGTGTCAAGGACAAGGACTCGATGAGGGAAAATATACACAAAAAGGCTATCTCGATATAATAAGTCAAAATATAAACAAGTATGTATATTAAAAGGAAATTGGAATGGCTATTGCCACAAGACAAGAAACTAAAGACTCTTGAACCTGGACTAGGAGCAAGAAAGGAGTTGACAAGAGTGAAGAAGCCTTCACTCTTGTCTCTATATATACTATCTAACTAGGGGCTATGTGGCGACGTTCTATAGGACCTCCAATATGTGTTGACTTTGTAGGACACATGCCTTGACTTACAAGGCAAGTTTTTCTATGTGTGGGCCACATAGTTAGCTTGATCTTCAAGCTAACAACATGTGTGGCACATGGCCAACTTGTTGACCACGTTTCTAATCTAAAAAGTCAATTAAAGATACCTATGAAGTCAAAGCAGCATCTAGGAAGTTTTTAGGAAGCTTCTATATTAAATATTATAGAATTAATTTATTTTTATCTACTTTTACTTACTTCTATCTATTTCTATATGTAATTATTAGCTTACATGATTATGGCCATGACATTACCCCCCCTTCTAGAGACGAGTTCCACGAGGAGCGGTCATCATATGTTGACAAAATCTATGATGCGATGAATTGTATTCGCCACATACTCTGATCTCTGTTCTCTTCGAAGATGATTGATAGGGCCTCTCAACCATCGATAGTGTCCCATACCAGGGCGGGAAGACCACCCAGTTATTTGATCATTGTTGAGGCCTTCATAACTTCTTTCGAATAGAATATTTGGAACACCATCAGGAGTTGTTCCTACCTCTAGTAAAATCACCAAACATCGGGAGTCCCTTCCCAAATCGTGATACCAAACGCGTTGTATCTCACCATCTATTCGAGGAAGAACATGTCGTTCTTGAAGATTGTGACAATCGTAATGTCTCGTCCGGCAAGTCAGCAAACGAAGGTTCTTGAGTTGAATCCGCTGGTTGTTGGCTCTCCATCTAATTAGCGTCACAAATGCAAAGAAGTTACAAACAAGGATAGGAAATTGAATGTTATCTTGCCTCA